AAAAAAAAAAATATGACACCCCTCTCCCCAAGATTCAATAGTCTCGATTATATAAAATTAAATGTTTTTTTTTTCATCTCGAGCCCAATGTAATATTGCGGGCCGCAATCTTGGTTAACAAATGCAAGACTAACCCAAGATTAAAGGCCTAATTCTTTAATAAGCCCTAAATTGATTCATGCTACAATATCAAGTATTCAAGTTGGTTTAAAGAATGGGTGTTATTGAAAATACACACTAGAACCTCATTTACTTTTCTTATTATAATATTACTGAAATCAACAATTCAAGTTTTTGCCTAACACATAATTTGACAAAACCAAATCTGATAAAAGTATATTAAATCTAGTAAATTCGATACTATTATTTAGGTTTTTCGAGGTTTGTACCTCCAAGGGACATCGCCTACGAGCATCCAATCGCCATCCTTGTCTTCGTAGGTCGGCACATAATCAGAGCCATTCAGAAGGTCCATTAACTTGCTCTCGTTCATGAACTCCATCATCCCTTGCGAGTCACATTTCCCTTCAATCAACAACAAATCATTTCACAAATAGTTTTGCACCCCCCCTTTATTTGGTATGTCCATTGGATCCATAGAATGAATTTATTTTATTAGACAAAGAAAAAATTAAATATAACTAGGAACAAGAAAAATATGATACAAATATTTTTTCTTTTTAGGGTATGTTTGGTATGACATATAAGCTAGCTTATAGCTTATTTGATTAGCTTATAAGCTTCCTGTATTAAATAAGCCCTGTTTGGTAGGACGAGCTTATTTAAAAAGCTCGAGCTTATTTGATAAGCTTGTTTAGGTAGCGTTTCAAAATAAGCTCGTTGAATTTTTTATTTCAGCTAGCTTATAAGCTACTTTTACCAAACACTTTTATCATATAAGCTAGCTTATAAGCTATAAGTCATAAGCTATAAGCTATAAGCTAGCTTATCACATATATAAGCTATCAGCTAGCTTATCAGCTATCAGCTAGCTTATCAGCTAGTTTTACCAAACACACCCTTAATTTTGTGAAGAGAAAATGATAAGATGAAGGTTTATCTGAAATTTATTTAAATATTAAGAATTTTGGCAACAAGTATTAATTTTGTAAGTTTTCACAAATATTTCCAGTTTCCATTATGAAATTGACAACAAAATTTTTGAAAAAAAAAAATAATAATAAAGGGATAAATTTCTGAACTCCTTATTTTTGTATCTTTTACTATTTACCTATAGTGAAAGAGCTGAACATTTTGCCGAGACCGTCGTACAGCTCCTGGTAAGTTCTGTACATCTTCACATCCACCTTGCGCAGGTATGGTGCACCGTCCATGCTCACCTTCACCAAGGCGCCTCCACCGCCGCCGGCGGTGGCACCCTTTCCACAGTCCTCCGTCTCGCTCTTCCTCTGAACCGCCATCGAATTTTTCCTGAACGAGCGGACCGGCGGCCAACCCACCACCTGCGCCCTGCACGATGCCAATTCCCACCACATACTTTTACTTATCAAACCCAAACCACAACAAAACCTCACCACATAAAAA